GTTAACTCCTCCGTTGACATGGGAATACACATATATATATATATATATGTCCATGGCAGTGAGCTAGAGGGTTGTATATATATATATATGTATATTCCCATGTCAATAGAGGAGTTAAGAAGGTATTGTAGGATGATGCACTTAATTTCATGGACTTTAATTTTTGGACTTTTGGTATTTTAGCTTTGAAAAGGTTGAAAGTCACAAGAGATGTGCTTGAAAAATTGTACCTTTCAAATATGGAAACACTGAATGTACTGTACAAAACTCACCACTACCACAGAAGTCTGAAAATGGTTCAGGTCTCAGAAAGAGAAAGAAAGCCTTACGAATCTGAACATTCTTCAGTGAAAAGCCTTTGTGTAACAATTCATAGCCTTATCTTGCATCTTCAAGCAGCTCTTCTGAGGTACGGTTGGAATTTTTCATCTTATGATCTAAGTGACAAACGTAGATATGTTTATAAAAGAGGATAGAAGTCTACTAAAGTTGGAAATACAGCATAGTGTACACTTTAAAAAAAAATTAAATATTGTAAAAAAAAAATACAAAAAAAGTAGTAAAATTCTATGCTTCTGAACCAGAATTTTAAGTAATTCATTTGATTAAAAAGTTAGCAAAATTTGTTTTCTCATTACTAAATGAAACCCTTGTTATGTAGTTGCATAGTTTTATTGAATAGATTTAGATGTTTGTGACCTCTCCTTTTTTGATCATGATTTGACTCAATGCTGTCAAAGAAGCTACAGGTTGACTGTAACTATGAAACCATTCATTTCAGCACAGTATCATTTGTTGAGGTCACACAGTAGCTAATATTCCTTTTCTTCTGCTAAAATCTTATTCAGTATGATACAACTGAAGATAAATGGAAAGAGCTTCTTTTATCATAATATGATATGAAAATTAGTACATAATCATGGCCCTCCTGTTAGTCTTTTAAAGTGATAGATACCTAAAAAACCTTAGTCATTGATTATCATTGTCAAAGAATTATTTTTTGTTTGATATAGCTCAGAGCACAGTACTTCTTTTTTATGTATACAGTTGTTGTTAAATAATGATTCCATTTAGAATAATAAAATTTCACATTACTGTAATTTTAAATTTTGGGTTCATAAAGCCAAATATGGGCTCTTCTCAATTGGGCTCTAAAGTAACTGTGTGGACTTTTGACAGAAAAAGAGAATTATTTAGAGTTTTAGATACAACTGTGATAACCTATAATGTAAAGAATTTTTGTGCATATGTTTGAGTTGTTTTGAATATATTATTTTAAAACAAGTGGATTGTGTGCTGTTTCTTGTTCGAATTTATCACCAACAAGTCACAGACACTTACTGTAAAGAATCCGGCCCCTACATACATGAAACCTTGACAAGTAAAGATTACATACGTTTCATATTGGATTCCCATGTAAAGCAAGGCCAGAGCTTATAACATGAGTCTCACTTGGTAAAAATGTGGTGCTGTAGCAGTGTTAATTTCCTGTGAGGAACATGTTTTTGTGTGTGGTAATTTTGTTATAATATTGCAGTTTTTGTTACATAGTTTCAAAGCTGCTAAGACAGGTTGATTGTGAGTTCATGGTAGAATCTTTTTGTTTGTAGCATTCACAAATTGCCTATGATATGTTTTAAAGCCTACTATTCTCATTTACATAACTTACTCATCTTGATGTACATTCACGCTGCGTATCATGCATCTATGCATTTATTTGGGATAAATCTTGGGGTTTCTCCAAGATTCATTGCTTTGATTTTTATGGGATGATACAGAGGGAACCCTTTTGAACAAGTGAAAGCATAATTGATCCTGTTTTTATTTTTTCAAGTTTATCATGGCTAAACAGTGATATACAGATGCAGAAGTGAAGCATTGAGTGTCTAAGAAGCTCCAGGATTTATCTCAAAACATATGAAACACATTATTCTGCTTGAAGATATGTGGTAGTCAAATGAATTTTATTTTTGTTAATTACTATGATTATGAAAATTAACTTCAAGATTGTAAATTAATCAAGTAATATCTACTAAACTCATTTAAAGATGAAGATGTTATTTGACCTGTTGGGTCTTATAATATACTGATAACTATGACTTAACCCATACAGAAATGCTTAAAATGAAACGAAAAGTAACAGCATTATTTTAAGGTTGTAGAGGTCATTCAAAGAATTTTTTTTTTTTAATTCTGATTTGACTCTTTTATTTTGTATGCATTTTATTTGTATCTGCCAAATAAAGTGTGTTTATACAACCTCTGATGTGGGGTACTTGTGCTATTTGTGAGCATATTTAATGAATGTAATTTGAGAGAGTCACACATTTTGAATCAGTGAAATAGGTACATACTTTTTGTTTTTTATCTTCATATCATTTATTGTCTGTTTGCATAAAGGGCAACTATGTAGATCATTTGTAAATTTGAAAAATGAGTGTTAAGAAACTTTAGAAATGAAAATAAGTTAGCTAGTTGGTCCTAAGTAAATACAATGAAGATGCTTAATATTGTAGATGATACAGGAACAGTCTTCATTTCACTTGCTAAATGTACATTTAATACTTTGCAAGTTTTTTTTAACAATATATATCAGTTTCATAAAAGAACTAATGCATATTTTTTACTTTTTTGTTAAAAAAGAGTAAAAACAATAGAAGAACATGTGGATGAAGTTCATAAGGAATCGGTCAAAAGTGCCGGACAGAATGAATCTCTTCTGTCATTGGTTAATGATGAACTGCATACCATGGATGGTTGGCTAGATGAAGTGTCAGCAGAGATACAAGCTAGCAGTGACTGTGTTTCTCAATCGCAAATGCTAATTAAACAGATTCTTGGAATTAAAATGAATCGTAAGATACCTTGTTTTTTTTATTTTTATCCTCAATTTGTATGACTTAATAATTTCCAATTTCAATTTTGAAATTAAAGAGTAATGATTAAATTTATATTCAGTTATATCGTCTTTGTTTATATGGATAATATACAGAAATTTGCTCAGATATTTAACTTGTTAACCTAAATACACTCAGATTGCGTAAGTTTGATATTTCATCATTATTAAAAATATCAATCATGTACTTACAACTAGCATTTCCATGAACTTAATGATTTTTGTTAAATCATTGTCTTGCACCTAGAAATATGGCTAAACATATCAGATTTTCCAATTTTACCACAGTTAGTAATGTAATTTTACATTTTTCTTTCTTCATAAAACAGAAATCTGTCAAGATGATTTCCTTTGCACCATTAGTTTTCTCTTTAATGACACTCTACTTAAAAAATTTGTATCTCCTAATGACAAGTGGATTTTGTTTTTAGCATTATCTCTAACCTGTTTGTAAATATGCTATTAACCCTACCAAGATGAGGCTTCCTATGGTCATGGATCAAAGGGCGTGTCATCACATTTGTAGACTTGTATTCAAAATTTTATTGAACTATTTTATGAATGTATATCAATAAGTTTGGCATCAAATTGTAGATTATATATAATTAAAATTTTATTATTGTACATAAGTTAATTTCTTCATTTAAAAGTAAATATTTAAAAAATAAGCCTAAATATAAATTTTTGTGAGTTATGTGTTATGTTGAATGCAGGA